TCCCCCAAGTCTTCAGTCAAAAGAGTCTGTTCACTGGAGACTTCAAATTCAATCCATGTATGGGCCAAAGTGGCGGTTGTTCGGAGGCGGTCTTTGTATACCATGCACTGAAGCTTTGTATGTGTAGCTTTGAAAGTGAAGCTTTGAAGTCGGAGCTTCGTAAATGAAGTTTTCGAAGCTGGAGCTCTCAAAGCTGGAACTCTGTAAATGAAGCTTTCGAAGCTGATTGACATGAGTGATGCTCATGAATGTTTATATGAGTGATGCTCATGAGTATTGACATAAGTGATGCTCATAAATGTTGACATGAATGATTTTCATGAATGTTTATGTATGATTGACATGAGTGATGCTCATGAATGTTTATGTATGATTGACATGAGTGATGCTCATGTATAATTTTGGAGTACTAGACGTACTTTTGATCACCTGGTTGGTGATAATAGCAGCAGGCTGCTGAATGATTTTGGAGTACTGGACGTACTTTTAATTACCTGGTTGGTAGTAATAACGGCAGGTTGCCGAATAATTTTTTGTAGTACTGGACGTACTTTTGATCACCTGGTTGGTGATAATAGCAGCAGGCTACCGAATAATTTTTTTGTAGTACTAGACGTATTTTTGATCACCTGGTTGGTGATAATAGAGGGCGTGGCTCTTTTGGGCATATGAGTCTTCGCCCTTCACATAACATTCCAGCCCATTATTTTGGGCTTGCCGTTTTTTTTTTTTTTGGCATGCTGCCTTCTTTACACATTAGTATAACTATACAATAATTGCTCCAGTTTGCAGAAGACAACTTAATAAAATATTCATCAATGATAGTGGGTATGGGCTATAAAGATAAGAGTCTTATCTTTATGGTTGTTTTCCTTAAATGCGAATGGATGATTGAGTGTGGCAGAGGAGAGACATGGGCATGGTGGGAATGATGCTCAATGTCTTATCTTTGAAGATTTGCATGCCTGCTTTACCGCAAACACATCCATAGCTTTTCCATACCGTCCACCTTTAAATCATGCAGCAAATTAGTCTCTTTATATACACCCACTTGTTCCTTTTCCTGTAGTTTTTTCAGAAAAGTAGGAACATGCATGATGAAAGTTGGTGGGCATCTTCTGCGCTGTCATCGTGCCAAGTTGGCTCCCTTAATCAACAAAGAGCTTGGGCTGCTGTGCATTAATTGCTCCTTTTCCTGTAGCTTTTTCAGAGAAGTGGGAATATGCATGATGAAAGTTGGTGGCAATCTTCTGCGCTGTCATCGTGCCAAGTTGACTCCCTTAATCAACAAAGAGCTTGGGCTGCTGTGCATTAGTGAGTAGCCATGCTTTTTGCTTTTTCTAATTTTTTTTTTTTTTTTTTTTTTGCTTTCTGCAATTATCTCCGACCTAAAAGTTGATGCGCAGAACAGAATCCTAACTCAGCACCAAGCAGGTAAGCTTGAACAGCAGAGTGGCTAAAAGGGTCAATCTGCCAACCGATTCAAGGAACCTGACCAAATTCTTTCAGAATAAATTGATGGCCTAAAGTTGTCTGATCAATCAAGTCCATGTAATGCAGGGTGGCCTCATCGTGCATACACATTTTTCCATTTATGAACTCGAGCTGACCAGCTCCTTGACTTTAGCCTTCAAGGCCGAGCTTTGTTGTCTCCACCATCTCTGAAAGAATGCAATCTCGACATAGATGAACTTCCGATTCTTCTCCTTCAGTAAGGCCGAAATTACAAAGTCGAGGACGTTTTGAACGCAAGCACCGCGAATTGAGTTGTTGGCACCTACAAAGTACTGGTCAACGGTCTTAAGCCACCCGACGTCGTCTTGAGAGTGGGGAACTAAATGAACATTGATTTTTTTGGGGATAATTCCCGTCGTCGTGTTGTAAGCTATGTACTTCGATTTTGCTCCCGGTAACCCAGCCAATAAGATTGTCGTCGCCGCCATAAGTAACAACGACGCCACAGTGGTAGAAGCCATATACTGAAATTATTTACTCAGAGATTGTCTAAAAAAGCATATCAAAAAGCGATCGGTCTCTCTCACTGGACTTCCTTCATCGGAAAGCGAAAACTTCTTTTCTTTTCTTTCATCATTGACACCTTCTGAACCAGCTTTTCTGCCAACTTCAAAAGAATCTGAAAGCCTCTCCACCAAGAACCTTATCAACTTGTATGAGCCCTCTGATGGAAGCTGAGGTCGGCAAGGTAACCGAGGCTCTTGATCCCGGAGGCAACGTCCGTACATAGCTCGAACTGGTCGGCGACTGAGGAATCGGGGAAGGAAGTGGGAAACGGCGTCGTTCTGCCGATGAGGTTGACAGACCGGCCGCCAGCGTCAGGTCTTTAACAGATGACACGTCGTCCGGGACACATACACCAGAGCTCTCCAACGACTTCAGCAGTATTTCCCGCGAATCTTCCATTACCGATTGATGGAATATAAGAGATTTTTTACGAGTTTTGTGCAGATTCGCGGGGCTGCTTGGCAAAACATCCGACCCAGTTGGCCTCCTCCAAGAACACCAGTAATTACATCGACAACTCCATGAACAGCTGAATCATCTTTCCCAGTAATCACGTAAGGGTCACATGATGCTCGGCTGGCTAGGATTGGATTGCGCTTCTTTTAGGGTTGCTCCTTGAGCGAGAGAGAAGAAGAAGAAGTGAAAAGCTTGTGCTTTTCCATGGAGCAGGAGAATGCATTTTTTGTTTTCGGTGCAGCTAAACACGGACTAAGCCTAAACTTCTGTGAAGCGAAGAGTGAGTTGCAGCAGCCAGAGCTCTGTTGGAACATTGTATAGAGAGAAAAACGAAACCTCACGGCGGTGCTCTCTGTTTCTCTCTCCTCACTCTCTCTCTCTCAAGTGTGAGCACTTGAACCCAGAAATCTAGAGAGAGACTTTGGGTGGAGACAAATGAAACGGCAGAGAGAGAAAGAGGATGAGAAGGTGGCTCCGTGGGTTTTCTGGGAAAGCTTTGGGTTTTTGGGTTTTTTGCAGATTCATGGTGGAGGTGAAAAAAATAAAAGAGAACCTACATAGCTTTTCGTGTCGTTTCTTACAGACGACGCCAAATGTTGATGCACAAAACCGGAGGGTCTTGGAACAACGTAAATCCGACTGTGAATCTGCAAGAAAGTAAAGAACATAAGATGTATCGTGGTTCACCCCAATGTTTGGGCTACGTCCACACTGATGTTGATTGTATTTCTCTTTAACTGTATGTATAGATTACAAGGGTGAGAGGGAGTCCCCCAGAGAAAGAGAGAGTTTGAGAAAGCTCTCTGTATGTGAGGATCAGAGCTTTGTAATGTGAGAGTGAGGCTTCTGTATGTAAGGATGAAAGCCTCGCTTAGGGGATGTGAGGCTTCTTTGAGGGTGAGAGAGCTTGAGGTTTGTGGGTGAGGAGGCCCTTTTATAGAATAAAGGCTCCTCACTTATTACATATTTGCCCCTCCATTTATTACATAATTACATTTGAGTCCCCCGAGTATTTATACGAGGTCTAAATACAGAAGCCCTAAGTATGGTACAAACAGCTTTGGAGCATCCCACCCAAATTTGGTACCTTGCCTCCTCCCGAGGTATTTTCCTTGATAAAGGCTTGATTTGTGATTTGGGGTTGAATTCTTAGTTGTTGGTGGGTCGAATCCACCTCCACCTGCTTGATTTTATAGTGGTGACACTCTCCCCAACCTATTTTGTGGTTGTGCTGACTTAGGCGCCTAAATATGTGTCGGCTTTGCTTGCCTGCCTTGTGAAAGTTACGAATCTCACTAGTGTGGTGAAGTTGCAGGTGGTCTAGCCTAGAATGTCCTAGTCCTCCCCTGAGATTAGGGAACCACTGGATTTATTCTTGAATTAATGTAGATTTTGTTTGTTTAACGTTTGGCAGATGATGTGGTTTCACCTTTGAGCGATGGTTTGATAGGTCTAGTCTTCGAGCAATGATTCTATGGTCTCATCTTTCAGCAGTGACTTTATATGGTCTCACTCTCCAGCTATGAAGTTGTGTAGCCTTGCACATCAATGAAGGTAGGTGTGTGCACTGGTATTTGTTTTTTGCGCCTATCGTTCTTGTGACAAATTTGTATTGGTGCACCTATGCTTGTGGTAGTCGTGTTAGGGGTTTTGACGTAATTGCTTATTTGTGCAAATTCACTCCAGATCAATTTGCCCTCTAAACTTGTATGGAGCTGCTAATTTCTTCCTTGAACTTTAATTTTAGCCAATTTCCCCTTGGTGTTAGATTTTAAATATTTACATCCAATTTTCCATCTATTTTGATCACGAAAAACAACATATGACAAGTGTATAAGGGCAAAATGAATGAAAAATTGGATGGATGAAAATTGTATGAAAGTTTTTAAAATCTAATGCCAAGGGGGAATTGGCTATTTATAAAAGTTCACGGGGGGTAATCAACTAAAATTAAAGTTCAAGGAGGAAATTGGTTAATTAAAAAGTTCTAGGGGTTAATCGGCTAAATTTAAAGTTCAAGGGGAAATTAGCAGACGCATACAAGTTCAAGGTGGCTAATCAACACTTAAGTAATAATCCAATAATTAACAACCACATCATTTGGTTTACAAAATTTAGTTTAAAGTTTTGATCTTCCTAGCATTACCCTTTCTTTTAGATTTAATAATATGCACATTTATTTAAATATTTTATTTTTAATCTCAATCATTCATTCCTGTATCATTTTATGTTACCTATTAGTGAAGAAATTTACCCTTTTTCATTTGGAACAAACGAGAAACGTAGTGGGAAGTCAGACAAGTATAAACAATTACCGCCATGGGCACGTTAAAGATACCTAATATATTGTTCTGAAAAGGTATGGATTCCACCAAGCCTTTTTTCTAGTCCCCACACTCAATTTATATACGTGGACTACCAATAGATTTTTGCTTAAAAAATTCTCTCAACCATTAAATTCACCTTTTTGATGCGTTTATAAGGTCCTTCAATCAAGATGGGACATGCATTTTAACATTAAAAACTTTGTACTACTTCTGGTGCCTAAATCTTCCATATTCTGATAAGAAGCCTCCTCTGTTCACCCAACAATGGGCTCTTCAGAGCATTCTGAAGAGGCTAATTGGGTTCTCCATACGCCCCGGCTGCCGGGACTATGGCGTGAGTTTACAGAGGCCTCAGGTGAAGAAATTAGTCCCAAAGATACCCTTCCAGCTCCAGGTTCCACCAAACACTTCAAAAAATCAAGCACTGCCTCATCAGCTATTGACGAGGAAAGGCTTGACATCGATCTTGACCTTGAGAAAAACAGCAGCCTAGTTGAGAGGACTCAGTGGGTGCTGAATGGTCCTGAACCCCCTGGTCTATGGCATGAGCTCATGGACTCTCTGAGGGAAACCATTTCTTGTTGCCGAAAAAAGTACTCGTCTCTCAAGAATCAGCCAACACTCAAAAGTGCAGTCTCTGTCCAGCAGGAGATATTTCCGATTCTTGTATGGGGTAGAAGCTACAACATGTCAAAATTCAAACATGATTTAATGGCAGGTCTCACTATAGCAAGTCTCTGCATTCCTCAGGTAACAAATTAAGTTATTGAACATGCATGTATGAAATAACCACTCATAATTACTATAATAATACAGCTAAATTACTATATCTCATACTTTTAGAACTGAATTATCATGTTATGACTGAATACGAGTTTCATGCAGAGTATTGGATATGCAACTCTAGCAAAGCTTGACCCTCAGTACGGCCTTTGTAAGTCAACTAGTTAACTTAAATATTGGTTTTCTAGTATTTTCTTCCTTTTTATTTTCCAAATATTTGGGAATATATTACTCTAGTATTTAGTTGCATGGATTTACATATATGGCAATGGAATATTAATTTTTATTTCTCTTTAATTTATTTTCTTGTTCCGTAATTGATCAATTGTAGACACAAGTGTTGTACCACCTCTTATTTATGCTGTAATGGGGACTTCAAGAGAGATAGCAATTGGACCTGTGGCTGTTGTTTCTCTTCTTTTGCCCTCAATGATTCAGAAGTTACAGGACCCCGAGGCTGATCCTATTGCTTACACCAAGCTCGTACTCACTGCAACGTTCTTCACCGGTATCTTTCAAGCTGCCTTCGGACTCTTCAGGTAGTATTGGACTGTACTGGATTCGACTATTAGTGCAAAGTGTTAGAGCTCTTTACTATGACATAAGCATCGTATACATTGGATATGCGCAAGGTTGTCCTAATATTTGTTCACATACTTCTTATTCTTAAACTTACCCTTTTTTCATCAGATTGGGGTTTCTTGTGGATTTTCTTTCTCATGCTGCAATCGTAGGGTTCGTGGCCGGGGCAGCCATCATAATCGGTCTTCAACAACTAAAGGGACTACTTGGAATCACTCACTTTCCAACCAATACTGATGTTATCTCTGTTATAGAAGCTGTTTGGACATCTTTCCACCACCCTGTATAGTCTTCTACTTTTCTCCAATGGAAAGAAATAATTCCTTAATAAAATAAATCATATACAATTTATCCAATCATTTATTTCTTTGCATTTCATTTGCAGTGGAGTCCTCATAATTTTTTCCTAGGCTGCTCATTCCTGTGTTTCATCCTAATGTCAAGATTTCTGGTGAGCAACACTTCGAACTTGTTAGTTAGTTATTATCGTTTTGCATGTTGGTCTAACTAAATTATCTATTTCAATTAACGTACACTATTTGCAGGGTAAAAAGAAGAAGAAACTTTTCTGGTTGCCAGCCGTTGCTCCTCTCCTATCTGTTATACTATCGACTCTGATTGTTTATCTAACACGGGGAGATAAACATGGAATTAATATTGTTAAACACGTCAAAGATGGCTTGAACCCTAGTTCGGTGAATCTGTTACAGTTCAACAGCCCCTATGTTGGGGCTGTGGCTAAAGTTGGGCTAATTGTCGCCCTTGTTGCACTCGCGGTCAGTCACATATATACCACTGAAGAACAAATGAATGAATGGATACTAATTTTTATCAATTAGCTCCTTTGAATTGGTTCATATATTGTTTATATTTTGTCAAAATCCAGGAAGCAATTGCAGTTGGAAGATCTTTCTCAACCATGAAAGGATACCACATAGATGGTAACAAAGAAATGATGGCAATGGGATTCATGAACGTAGTGGGATCCTGTACTTCCTGCTATGTTGCAACCGGTAAGCATTGGTAGTGAGTACTGAACATGTGCAACATTCTCACCAGACAAAAAGATGTACCATCTTTCTAACACAAATTGTTTCTGTAAGAAACACTTTACTTTGTTTCATTTACAAGCACTTTTATTCTTTAAGAAAAGTAATTTATTCTCAAAACTGCAAAAAGTGTTTTTGTTTATCTTAATGCACTTTCGAAAAGCACTGTTAGACAGTCTTACATGATCAACTGAAATGGTACAAATTTACAAATGACTTCATTCTAATAAGGAGTAATTAGGTTTTCATCCTTATTTTTACTACTCTATTGATTAAAACCTTATTACTTTTCAATTTTTGATCAAGGTCCTTTGTTTTAATAATATCATTAATTATTTCAATAATAAAATATTTTTTATTTCTAAATATATTCATTTAATATTTAAAATGTTACAATTAGTATATTTATATTTATGGCTAAATTTTTTATCATATATTTTTATTTTTAGTTTGTACCCATTTTTAATTTGCAACCCTTTTTTAATTTGTACCAATTTTCCTTTCAGTTTTAATTTGTACCCATATATTAATTTCTTTTTGTGCCCATATTTTTTAAAGTTTTATTTGTATTGTACCCATATTTTTTTATTTATTTGTACCCATTTTTATTTTTGCTAAATGTACCCATTTTGAAGAATGTACCCATGTTTTGATACAATAATTTTTTGGTTATTTTTATGAATGTACCCATGTACACACACACACACAATAGTATATTTATATTTTAATATTTTTAATCCCACAAATTATGGTTTTTTATTTAAAATCTCATTACTATAAACAACTATAAATTTTAATTTTTAATTTAAAAAATATAGTAACGTACATAGAAATAAATTATCAATTAATTTCAGGGACTTTGATCAAAAATTGAAAACCAATAAGGTTTCAGTCAAAGATTGTTCATAACTAGGGACCGCATCCAAAGTCCCTTCTAATAATGATACTTCATCGATTAATTCTTGTATAATTTTTACTACTTTGCCATCTTATTAGACGTAATTCAGTTCCTTTTCGGTTAAATCATGATCATGAACAGGTTCATTCTCGCGCACAGCCGTTAACTTCAGTGCTGGTTGTGAAACTCCTGTGTCAAACGTGGTCATGGCCTTTACTGTGATCATATCACTGCAGCTGTTGACAAAGCTCTTGTATTACACACCAACAGCAATCCTTGCTTCAATTATTCTCTCTGCTCTGTCCGGGCTTATTAACCTGAGCGAAGTCTACAAAATTTGGAAGGTTGATAAGTTGGACTTCTTGGCTTGCATTGGAGCCTTCTTTGGGGTCCTATTTGCATCCATGGAGATTGGCCTTCTAGTTGCGGTAACATATTATATATAGCTCTTAATTACTTTGTCTGCAACAGTAGATGCATAATTGCGTATAAAATCCATTATACAAAAGTATGACGGGACAGGACCCAATTATTTTTAATTATTATTTTTTGGGTCAACATATAGAGCACATTTTTATTAGCCTCAAACCTTAGCCGTACGTTTACAAGCTTTCCTCATTTGTATGGAGCAAGGTTTTAAAGGATGCTATGTGCTAATAGGGTGGTGAACAGAGGTCTAGCACCTAGGTGTTTATGCGGGATCTAGGTAGAGGAGTAGGTTATTTTTTAATTTTAATTTAATATGTTATATAACATATAAATAAATGTCTACTTGTACTTAAAAAAATAAATAATTCTATTCAAATACATAAATTGCAAAATAAAAAGACATATAAATTATATATAACAAGTCTCTCACAAATTTATTAAAAAAAATACAAAATAGAAGTTATTTATTTTTTGTTTAAATGAGACTCGCAACCTAGGCAAGTGTACGTGGATTAAGTGGACGTCTAGGCAGTCGCCCTTTTTTATTTTTTAAACGTCTAAGAATTAATCGTGGCGGTGGCTAATTGCCCAGCTCCTAAATAGAGTCTAAGCGGCGCTAGGCGGGCGCTAGACGGTGATTTTTAAAACACTAGTATAGAGTATTGTTATTTACATAAGAGAATCTCATATAGAATGATAGGGTAAAATGTGTCATTAAATAAAGCATCCCCAAACAAGAATTTATTAATAAAAAGATCTTAATTAAGGTGAATGGATACATATATGATATATGGTTACTATATTGTAAATACAAGTAAACTACATATTTGTACTATGTTTTAATATTACATGACTAATTATGTAATACAAAGGTTTGGTCTCGTAAACAATATTACTTTTGTAAAGCAGATATATTGCGCTTTACTACAATGATTGGATAGTGATAATGCCTATTGATGCGAGTTTGATTCTCATTGATCCCCTTCTTCCTCTCTCTTAATATTTAACAATTTAACTTACTAATGCTAATATTTAACAATTTAACTTACTAACGCTATTATTTGGAGGAAGAAAAAAAAAACCATTACTTTTGTAAAATAAATAACTAATTAACAATGTCCAAAAAATAAAAAACTAAAAAGTAGACGAGTGGGATACGAGGACCTCAAACCAGCAAATGATTTTGTCATACATGGAATAATTAATCTTGTTCCTGGGACATTGAAGCATATATGATTAAATTAATTGATTTGGAGGCATTTCCTTTTTGGTAAATATTTCTAGGTATCTCTTCAATGAACCATGTTTCACATGTATCAATTCTAGAATTTCATTGAGTCTCGTCTTTTAGTCAACCTACCAATCAAGGATACATAGTTACTTATAAATGAATTTGATATCAAAGTTTGATATTAAAATATTAAAAAATAAATTCATTTATTCTCCACTATTGATATCAAATCTTAAAGTACATTCCTTAATTAGTAGGTGACGAAAAGAACATTTAATTGGTAATACGTTTTATTCTATTACAAAATCTCCAAATGGACTTTTATTCATAAACATTTTCATTACTTAGGAGAACATTGAAACTTTTATAAAAAAAAAAACGAAGTGCTTCTTGGTAGAGCACTAACACATGTAATTTACTAAAAAGTTGTTTATAACTTTTAAATCTTTAAACTTTTTTTATGTTAAACATTATTGGAATCATTTTTAGTTATTTAATCTCATAGAAGTAGTTTCATAGGCATCTGATTCTGATACTTTTAACCACTGACAAGTTGCATGTGTGTGTGTGTGTGTGTGTGTGTGTATGTATGTGTGTGTGTATATGTGTATGTATGTTTTGTAGGCATCTTTTTAACGATGCTTATGTTCAAAAGATGTCTCTAACAGTTAATTGTATGTTTTGACCAGGTGATCATATCATTCACAAAGATTATTCTCATCTCAATTGGACCAGGCACAGAAACACTTGGAAAACTTCCTAGAACTGATATGTTTTGCGACACTGCTCAGTATCCTATGGCTGTTAAAATTCCTGGAATCATGATAATACGTGTCAAGTCTGCCTTGTTTTGTTTTGCAAATGCCAATTTCGTCAGAGAAAGGTATGTATTTAATTGTACAAATACATATGTAATGAATCTTTTATTTTTTTGGTGAATAGTAGATTTAATAAATCTTAAAAACCAATTATATATGAAAATTAACATGTATTTGTATTGTAAATGCAAGGATTGTAAGGTGGATAACTGCAAAGAAAGGGGAGGACACCAAAGAGGCAATTCAACTCGTAATTCTTGACATGTCTAGTAAGTGGCTAAACGAAAAACTAGAGACAATGTCTTTAGAATCTTGGATCTAAAACTAGTCATTCTCGATGTCCATTTAATTATGTTTATTCTTCAAAATAGACTCTAATCACTAAATTCGAAACCCAAATGCTTAACCCATATATACATCCCAAAATGTATGGTTTTCGTAAGGACACGAGCACTATAAAGGCACCAAAAGCTTTTGAGGTAGACACTATAAAATATTTGGGTTCATGCACAATTATTATTAATATCTGTGCTTTCTTTGATAGACGTCAACATTTGTGCTCTTTGCTCGTGGACAGGCCGTACTTAAGTGCTGGTCCCCTATATATAATTGTACATATATATGCAGCTTTCAAGAGATTTATATAACCTCCTCTCCTTTGCTTTTACCCCCTTTCTGTACGACAGATTTGATTAACATTGATACATCGGGAATAGCTACTCTAGAGGAGCTGCAAAAGAATTTGATCTCCGAAGGAATTGAGGTAAGACATCGACTAGTTATTCGCCCTTTTGGCTTACAGGGATCGACCTCTGCATTTTAAAACTTGTGACCTCTCTCACTGCCTCTCTCTCTCTCTCTCCCAGTTAGCCGTTGCAAACCCTAGGTGGCTAGTGATTCACAAACTAAAGCTATCCAACTTTGTGGAAAAAATTGGAGGAAGGGTCTTCGTGACCGTCGGAGAAGCAGTGGATGCAAGATTCACTGAAAAATTGCCACCACCTGCTAATGCAAGCTGCTAGCTAGCTCTTCCATAGAAGCGCTCGATCGCAACATTCTCATTCAGGTCTCTTGTTTCCTGCTTCTCATGTGTGCTAGCTATGATATATAGTCCCATCGATCCCACTTATGTATATAGATGTGTAGGGGGACGATATAAATAATGAGATGATGGTTTGAATATCTTCTCACCCTCTCTTCCTCCACAAATATCTAGCGCTAGCTAGCTTATGTTGTTGTTGGTTTGTGATATACAAGAGATGTGTAACATATATAATGCAGTTATAATCTAATGTCTCGTACTTGTAATGTTGTGATGTGTTTTTCAAATATAACATATACAGTGCGCTGAATCTGCTGATGTGATGATGGATAGTTATATAGAGAGGACCACCATTGAAGACTGGGTAAAGTTAATTCCCATATATTTGTGACCCTGCCACTATGATTGGTTGGCCCAAAGCACAATTGAAATATCGTCAACCACTGAAACTACTGCAACCGTACAAAGTGCCCAACTCAAGGGACAATGTGATTGGTGGGCTCCTAATATATGATACGTGTAGTTAACAGGTTGTGTTCGTTGTGTGTCATTTTGTGCTTCTATATATAGATACTATTAGCTAAAATAGTTCTTGAGATTGACATAACTCCTCACTTTGATTCTTGAGATTTGAAATCGATAGAAGTTGTTCTTAAGATTGGCATAACTCCTCATTTTGATCCTTGAGATATATCGGTAGAAGTGATCCATGAGTTTGTCCACCATCAATTATTTTGGGCATTCCGTGAAAAATTATGTTAAATAAGTACTAAAATGAGAAAAACAATACCCTCAATTTAATAAAAAAATGGGCCAAAATTGTTTGACAAAAATTGAATGTATTTTTGTCATTTCATCCTTATTTAGTGGAGATTTTTCATATAATGACCAAAATAATTGATGGTGAACAAACTCAGAGACCCTTTTTATTGATTTCAAATCTCAAGTACAAGAATGAAGGAGTTACATTAATCTCAATGATCATTTTGGTTAAAAAGCCTAAACTTAATTGTTTTATTCACATGATACTTCTTAAACTGGTTTTAATATAGTAAGAGCTATAATCAAGTTAGATAATGATGTAATGACTCATTTAGCGTGAGTCATGTCGTATTTGCGTGATGTGAAGAAATGTCTCATATTGGATATTTGGGTTACTCCTTTTTATTGCCATTAATTTTACGGAGCAATCTCAACTTCCATCAATGTTCATGTTTGTCGTCCAAAACCCGCTAATTCGAATTCAAGTCGTGTGCAACGAAATAAGAGAAAATATGGCGAAAAGAAAAACATGCAAAGTGCAGAATAGGATGACATTGATCTTTATAAAAAAAATAAAGAATGGTTGAATCAATTAATTGAGATTAGTAGTAACCAATTCAAGCTGTTGCTATTGTTTGCTAATTTCTAAAGTTCTGAAAGTCAAACACTTTTAACAAAAGCTTCTTAATTCTCCTTTCTGTAAGTGTGACTGCAGGCAGTTCAACAAGAGGTCATCTGCAGCATGTCGAAATGGACGCTCTTGGGTTCATCACCGGAGTAGCGAATGAGAATGCTTCAGTATGTTGTTAAGAAGCTGATTTCTTTGGGCTCTACACAACAGATTCTGTACCCTTTCTGTCATCTGCTTTCAAAATACATAATTAATACTCAGTTAATCTCACTTTCATTAGGTTTGAATTAAAGACATTAAATTATAGTAAATAAAACCTTTCCCAAGCTCCCCTTGAGGCATATGGAACAGCTCTAGGAGAACAATTAGAAGCAGTAGTTGGTGAAGACTTGCGGCTAGTTTCCTCTCTGAATGGCAATTTCCCGTTACTTCTACTCCGCGTTGTGATCGTTGAAGAGCCAGGCCAGGCCAGTTTCCATTTAACATGCCGGGGAGGTTTGCTTCCTATTCCCACAACACCACACAACATAATAAACATCGATCACAAGGTTACAAATCAAGTTGAAGGGATAGCTTTTATTCATTAACTGACAAAAGAATAAAAGAGAGTTAGATATGGTCTAGTGAAAGTACCAAAAATAGCACGGTTGCACAGTTCTTGAGGACCTCCAGATTCATCCTAACGTCTTCAAGGCTCCTATATATGTTTGTAGATATATATAAACATACAATTAATATTTAAACATTAATTAAAAAGTGATTATTGCATGCGAACCTGTGCTTTTGGTGCCCAAGATTGAAGTATGATGCCAATGTTGCCATCTAAACATATACACATAGATCACAATGGATTGGCTTTGCAGCCAAAAATAAAATTGAAAGTAAATAATCTTCATGGTCCCAATTTGTAATTAACATTTATATCTAATTACCTTCATATTGCCAGCTCTTCTTCCAAATTTACCAGTTAACACCCCTAAAGAGTCCATCATCCCAACCGGCGTAGGTGCAGGCCTACCGATCTCTGCAAAGCCTCCTTAATCTGAACGCAATCGAATCTTCGAATGTTGTGGCCTGCCCACACCCTTCCATTCAAAATGCTGAATATCTTATCAGCAACTTCCTCAAACAAGGGTGCTTTTGCAACAGTTTCCTGAGTGATCCCGTCAGACCGGCCAGACCTCAATGCCACAGCAGACAAGTCCCCAGGCCTAATGAGTGTGCTCTAGGTTTCCAGCTCAACAAGGTTCTGAGGGCAAACCACAATTGCACCAAATTCTAAAACCCAGAACCTTTGTCCAGCTTTATTGGGTACATTTGTTTCTATGTCAAAGAACACAATCTCTGTTGTGCCTTGTTTGGATGATGAAGTTGAAGCATCCATTTGAGGTTATAGCTAGTTTTTTCCGTCTTTCGGGTATCCGGGTTTTGGTAAATTTTGTCATCATTATGTGCAGGTTATATATTTGAAGGGTTAAGGTAGGGGTGGGTTCAAAAAACCGAAAACCAAACCGAACCGAAACCGAAAAAACCGAACCGAATCGAATTCTTTTGGTTCGGTTCGGTTTTAGTGATCTAGAAACCGAACCGAACCGAATTAATTAAATTAATTTTTTTATTTAATTATTTGTTTTGGGTATTATTTTCTAAACCTAATTTGTAAGTTAAAATGTGCTAAACCCAATGTGTTGCCAAACTTTAAGCTCAAAATATTAAAAAAAGGCCTATAAAAACTCTAAACCCTAACCTATTATTTCTCCTCCATATAAGGTTCCGGAATCAAACCTCCTCCTGAAGTACCTACATCCATCTCCATAGCAATGTCTACTTCTACCCCAGCTTTCTTTTCCAAATCTACTCTCATATAACATGTAACATAATCCATAAACATTTATTTCGGGTAGATTACTTGGGTAATTTGTGATGGAAAAAAAATCCAACACACACTAAATAAATCCACCCACGTATTACTTTTACTAATCAAGTTGTCAACATGCAGTTACAAGCAAACAACCCTGATCTTTGAACAACATCATACAATTTAACTTTTCTAAGTCATTTGTACGATTTTTGTGTTGTGAGGTTGTTAGTTTGGACTTTGGAAGACTTGATTGATGATTTTAGTTCAACTTTAAATGTTTATTTTCATTGTCTTTGATTCTAGTTAGAATGCTTATGTTATGATTGTGTTAGATATGTTAAAATTTAAAATTTCAATGTTTTTCATTTTTTGAAAGAAAAAAAAAACAAAAAACCAAAACCGAACCGGAAAAAACCGAACCGAAAAAAAACCGAACCGAAAAAAACCGAAAAAAAATGAACCGAACCGAAATTTCGGTTTGGTTTCGGTTTTGGCAAAAAACCGAACCGATTTAAACCGAACCCACCCCTAGGTTAAGGGAAGAAAGAAATGAGAAAGGCCAGAGTTGAAGGAAGGGTATTCCTCCTATTTGAGATTGATTTACTTGTGGTTAAAGTTAAGAGCTTAGGCTTTGGGGGTCCTTTAGTCCTTAGCTTCCCGAAGATTTCATGTACAAAAGTACTTCCAGGGAATTGCTTTTGCCCTTTTTATTGTATTTGCTTTTGAAACGGTAACCTTAGGAGCGAGCCTTCCTTTTAGACAAGTAATCTTAACCCAATGCAAATGAGGCCATTGTTGATCAGTATGTTGGCAAATTTGAAGCAAAGTCTCCTAGGAGACAGGAATATGCTTATTCCCTCTATCCTCTTTCCGCACATATTCACATTGTACTTAACCTTTCGACAAGATGCATGACGTGAATGTGAATAAGAAAAGTTCTTGTTTCAACAAACGCGGTTAGGCTAGTTGGACAAGACAATGTGTCTGTTCCATGCACCAAAGTTTTAATCCCTCTCTCATACATAAAAATAGTTTATAATATCGAACAACACTTAGAGCCATTCCTCTTTCAATGACGACATAACATCATTGCATTGTACAAACGTCATATTTGATGTTCTTATCATCATCTAAGGATCATTTCTAAGAAATTTCATTCAATTTGGAGACAATGTAATGGTAACAAGTAAATCCTCTCGATGAACTGTCAAATTTGTTTGACTGATACGGATGACTAAATGTTTTTCGAATTGATTGAAGTTTTCTAGAAATATGATCTTTACGTTGGGATAAAAGGAGTGAACGGTTCGACCCTTCATCCTACGTTGGGAATAGATCAAGTTTTGTGAGCATTAGGATGAAACAATAACCTCTGGTTTTGATAATATGATAAGAAACGCATAACTTAAGCATATGGAATTCTTGAAATCCAAATCAACGAAACAAACACGCCTTTGTTTACATTACTGTTAAATACAACGCCAGAAGAATTATTTTCCACCTTCCCGACATGACCAACTTATTCGTAACTTCAACTCAGATACTAGAATACGGATTTACACCAAGTAGAACAGTGGCAAAACCAGAAACATTTTAGTTAACACCGGCCACAGGCTTTAATTCAACAAGAGCTTTCTTAATTCTCTCCACAGCTGCCTGTACGGTGGGAAGGGATGCTGCGTAGGAGATTCGTATGCACGTGTCATCTCCAAATGCATCTCCCGGTACTAGTGCAACCTGTAAATGAGCAACAACCCATGCCAGCATTTTATTCAACCATCAACATTTCAAACTACAGTAGCTATTAAAATGTGGATCTTCCGATGTAGCAATCCGATGCATACCTGACCCTTGTCAAGTAGGTAACGGCATAGTGACTCTGAATTCTCAATTTTACCAAATCCTTCAGCCTCTGTTCCATAGTAAGCGCTGAAATCTACGAAGAGATAGAAAGCTCCCTGAAAGTGAGATGCGAGATAGTGAAGAAATTAGGATAGCAAGTAGAATAGAAA